ACGCCACCACCATGAGTCACTCGTCATAAAAATCCTCTGTTTGAGCAACCCAAATGTCCACCGAACCCTTTTCTCACTCTCTCAGAACTTCAACCTCCGAGCAATGATCATCGACTTATTCTGCACCGCCGTATTAGACATCACCGGCGATTTCACCTTCCCGGTTTACTACTTCTTCACCTCCGGAGCTGCCTGTCTCGCCTCTTGCTTCTATCTCCCGATCATCCACGAAACAACCGTTGGCAAAAACCTCAGAGACGTTGAAACACTCCATATCCCCGGCGTTCTTCCTATCAAGGGCTCCGACATGCCTACGGTGGTGCTCGAACGTGACGATGAGGTCTGCGATGCTTTTATAATGTTCTGTAAACAGCTCTCGAAGTCTTCAGGCATCCTCATCAACACGTATGATGCTTTAGAGAACAGAGCAATCAAGGCAATAACAGAGGAGCTATGTTTTCGCAATATTTATCCTATTGGACCGCTTATTGTTCAAGGAAGAACCGGAGATAAAAACGGAGACAACGCAGATTCTTGTCTGAGTTGGCTCGACTCGCAGCCGGAACAAAGTGTCGTGTTCCTCTGTTTCGGAAGCTTGGGTTTGTTCTCAGAGGAACAGTTGAAAGAGATTGCTATTGGTTTAGAGAAGAGTGAGCAGAGGTTCTTGTGGGTGGTCCGTAATCCACCGGAGTTACAAAACCAAACAGAACCGGACTTAAAATCTCTCTTACCGGACGGATTCTTAGACCGGACCGGAAACAGAGGAATGGTCGTCAAATCATGGGCTCCACAAGTTCCGGTTCTAAAACACAAGGCCATCGATGGATTCGTAACTCATTGTGGCTGGAATTCCATTCTAGAATCCATTTGCGCCGGTAAATTTGCAATATACACATTTCAATTACATATAATACGTATTGAATGATTTAGTGTGGTTAATTCAATTGGTATATCATAATAGGCGTACCGATGGTTGCTTGGCCGTTGTACGCCGAACAGAGGTTTAACAGAGTGGTGATAGTGGAGGAGATCAAGATTGCGATTCCGATGAATGAATCGGAGACGGGTTTCGTGAGCTCGACGGAAGTGGAGAAACGAGTCCGTGAGATAATGCAGGAAAGTCCGGTTACGGAGAGAACCAAGGCGATGAAGAACGCGGCCGAATCAGCCTTGTCGGAAACCGGTTCGTCTCATACCGCGTTTATTGAGTTACTCCAGTCATGGAGCTCAAAGTGATCTTTGAAATTAATCCATGTATCAATTCATGGTAGAAATTAATAAGTTTCCGCGTCATGAAACATTTTGTTCATTCGGTTAAGTATGGGATAAAGAATGCAATAAGACAAAAACTGATTGAAACGTTTCAAATGTCTGATAAAAATCAACACATGATTAAAGAATTGGCATTTCATTATCAGACAATAAAACAAGCTGTTGTTTCTAAACATTTTTG